TAGACCTGCCCCATAGCACTGCCCCATAGACCTGCCCCATAGCATAGCGTTGCCCCACAGCGCTGCCCCATAGCATTGCCCCATAGCACAGCCCTGCCCCATAGCATAGCATTGCCCCATAGCACTGCCCCATAGACCTGCCCCATAGCATAGCGTTGCCCCACAGCGCTGCCCCATAGCATTGCCCCATAGCACAGCCCTGCCCCATAGCATAGCATTGCCCCATAGACCTGCCCCATACCATAGCATTGCCCCACAGCGCTGCCCCATAGCATTGCCCTATAGCACAGCACTGCCCCATAGACCTGTCCCATAGCATAGCGCTGCCCCACAGCGCTGCGCCATAGCACAGCCCTGCCCCATAGCACAGCCCTGCCCCATAGCATAGCATTGCCCCATAGACCTGCCCCATAGACCTGCCCCATAGCATAGCGTTGCCCCACAGCGCTGCCCCATAGCACAGCCCTGCCCCATAGCACAGCACTGCCCCATAGACCTGCCCCATAGCATAGCATTGCCCCATAGCATTGCCCCATAGCACAGCCCTGCCCCATAGCATAGCATTGCCCCATAGACCTGCCCCATAGACCTGCCCCATAGCACAGCACTGCCCCACAGACCTGCCCCATAGCATAGCGTTGCCCCACAGCACTGCCCCATAGCACAGCCCTGCCCCATAGACCTGCCCCATAGCATAGCATTGCCCCATAGACCTGCCCCATAGATCTGCCCCATAGCACAGCCCTGCCCCATAGACCTGCCCCATAGCATAGCATTGCCCCATAGACCTGCCCCATAGCACAGCACTGCCCCATAGCACAGCACTGCCCCATAGACCTGCCCCATAGCACAGCGTTGCCCCACAGCGCTGCCCCATAGCGCATTCTCCTCCCCCCATCTCCAGGGATCCGGCGGGGGGGGGAGGGGGTGGGGTGGTTGTGACATCACGAGGTGACGCCATAACGCTGACGCCATCCAGCCCCGCCCCCCTCCCCGAGGCCCCGCCCCCTTCCAAGATGGCGGCGCGCGGGAGGTGAGAGCGCGAGCGGCCGGGTCCCTTCCCGGAAGTGACGTATGGGGGGGGGGGGTGGGTCTTGCTATGGGGCTCGCTGTGGGTCCGGCCATGGCTCCAGTTGTGGGTCCAGCTGTGGGTCCAGCTGTGGGGCCGGGTCAGCGCATGGTTGTGGGTCCAGCTGTGGGGCTGGCCATGGGTCCAGCTGTGGGGCTGTGTGTGGGGCTGGTTAAGGGCATGGTTGTGGGTCCGGGTGTGGTTCTCTCTATAGGGCGCAGCCATGGGGCCTGGTGTGGGTCTTGCTATGGGGCTCGCTGTGGGTCTGGCCATGGCTTCAGCTGTGGGGCTGGGTGTGGGTCTCTCTATAGGGCGCAGCCATGGGGCCTGGTGTGGGTCTTGCTATGGGGCTCGCTGTGGGTCCGGCCATGGGTCCAGCTGTGGGGCTGGGTCAGGGCATGGTTGTGGGTCCAGCTGTGGGGCTGGCCATGGGTCCAGTTGTGGGTCCAGCTGTGGGGCTGGGTGTGGGGCTGGTTAAGGGCATGGTTGTGGGTCCGGGTGTGGGTCTCTATAGGGCACAGCCGTGGGGCCGGGTGTGGGTCTTGCTATGGGGCTCGCTGTGGGTCTGGCCATGGGTCCAGCTGTGGGGCTGGGTGTGGGGCTGCTTAAGGGCATGGCTGTGGGTCCGGGTGTGGGTCTCTCTATAGGGCACAGCCATGGGGCCTGGTGTGGGTCTTGCTATGGGGCTCGCTGTGGGTCCGGCCATGGCTCCAGTTGTGGGGCCGGGTCAGGGCATGGGTGTGGGTCCAGCTGTGGGGCTGGCCATGGGTCCAGTTGTGGGTCCAGCTGTGGGTCCGGGTCAGGGCATGGTTGTGGGTCCGGCTATGGGGCTGGCCATGGGTCCAGTTGTGGGTCCAGCTGTGGGGCTGGATGTGGGGCTGCTTAAGGGCATGGTTGTGGGTCCGGGTGTGGGTCTCTCTATAGGGCACAGCTGTGGGGCCTGGTGTGGGTCTTGCTATGGGGCTCGCTGTGGGGCCGGCCATGGGTCCAGCTGTGGGGCCGGGTCAGGGCATGGTTGTGGGTCCGGCTATGGGGCTGGCCATGGGTCCAGTTGTGGGTCCAGCTGTGGGGCTGGCCATGGGTCCAGTTGTGGGTCCAGCTGTGGGGCTGGGTGTGGGGCTGCTTAAGGGCATGGTTGTGGGTCCGGGTGTGGGTCTCTCTATGGGGCCTGGTGTGGGTCTTGCTATGGGGCTCACTGTGGGTCTGGCCATGGGTCCAGCTGTGGGGCTGGCCATGGGTCCAGTTGTGGGTCCAGCTGTGGGGCTGTGTGTGGGGCTGGTTAAGGGCATGGTTGTGGGTCCGGGTGTGGGTCTCTCTATAGGGCGCAGCCATGGGGCCTGGTGTGGGTCTTGCTATGGGGCTCGCTGTGGGTCCGGCCATGGCTCCAGTTGTGGGGCTGGGTCAGGGCATGGTTGTGGGTCCGGCTATGGGGCTGGCCATGGGTCCAGTTGTGGGTCCAGCTGTGGGTCCAGGTCAGGGCATGGTTGTGGGTCCGGCTATGGGCGCAGCCATGGGTCCAGTTGTGGGTCCGGCTATGGGGCTGGCCATGGGTCCAGTTATGGGTTCAGCTGTGGGGCTGGGTGTGGGGCTGGTTAAGGGCATGGTTGTGGGTCTGGGTGTGGGTCTCTCTATAGGGCACAGCCGTGGGTCTTGCTATGGGGCTCGCTGTGGGGCCGGCCATGGGTCCAGCTGTGGGGCTGGTTAAGGGCATGGTTGTGGGTCCGGCTATGGGGCTGGCCATGGGTCCAGTTGTGGGTCCAGCTGTGGGGCTGGGTGTGGGGCTGCTTAAGGGCATGGTTGTGGGGCCGCGTGTGGGTCTCTCTATAGGGCGCAGCCGTGGGGCCGGGTGTGGGTCTTGCTATGGGGCTCGCTGTGGGTCCGGCCATGGCTCCAGTTGTGGGTCCAGGTCAGGGCATGGTTGTGGGTCCAGCTGTGGGGCTGGCCATGGGTCCAGTTGTGGGGCTGTGTGTGGGGCTGGTTAAGGGCATGGTTGTGGGTCCGGGTGTGGGTCTCTCTATAGGGCGCAGCTGTGGGGCCTGGTGTGGGTCTTGCTATGGGGCTCGCTGTGGGTCCGGCCATGGCTCCAGTTGTGGGGCCGGGTCAGGGCATGGTTGTGGGTCTTGCTATGGGGCTGGCCATGGCTCCAGTTGTGGGTCCAGCTGTGGGGCTGGGTCAGGGCATGGCTGTGGGTCCGGCTATGGGGCTGGCCATGGGTCCAGTTGTGGGTCCAGCTGTGGGGCTGGGTGTGGGGCTGGTTAAGGGCATGGTTGTGGGTCTGGGTGTGGGTCTCTCTATAGGGCGCAGCCGTGGGGCCGGGTGTGGGTCTTGCTATGGGGCTCGCTGTGGGGCCGGCCATGGGTCCATCTGTGGGGCTGGTTAAGGGCATGGTTGTGGGTCCGGCTATGGGGCTGACGATGGGTCCAGTTGTGGGTCCAGCTGTGGGGCTGGGTGTGGGGCTGGTTAAGGGCATGGTTGTGGGTCCGGGTGTGGGTCTCTCTATAGGGCGCAGCCATGGGGCCTGGTGTGGGTCTTGCTATGGGGCTCGCTGTGGGTCCGGCCATGGGTCCAGCTGTGGGGCCGGGTCAGGGCATGGTTGTGGGTCCAGCTATGGGGCTGGCCATGGGTCCAGCTGTGGGGCTGGGTGTGGGGCTGGTTAAGGGCATGGTTGTGGGTCCGGGTGTGGGTCTCTCTATAGGGCGCAGCCATGGGGCCTGGTGTGGGTCTTGCTATGGGGCTCGCTGTGGGTCCGGCCATGGGTCCAGCTGTGGGGCCGGGTCAGGGCATGGTTGTGGGTCCAGCTATGGGGCTGGCCATGGGTCCAGCTGTGGGGCTGGGTGTGGGGCTGGTTAAGGGCATGGTTGTGGGTCCGGGTGTGGGTCTCTCTATAGGGCACAGCCATGGGGCCTGGTGTGGGTCTTGCTATGGGGCTCGCTGTGGGTCTGGTCATGGCTCCAGTTGTGGGTCCAGCTGTGGGGCTGCGTGTGGGGCCGGTTCAGGGCATGGTTGTGGGTCCAGCTGTGGGTCAGAACTTGGAGCACAGCTGTGGGGCTGGTTGTGGGTCCAGTTGTGGGGCTGGTTGTGGGGCTGGCCATAGCCAAGCCATGGGTCTATCTATGGGTCCATCTGTGTGTCTCTCTATGGGTCAATCTATGGGTCTCTGTGTGGGTCCGTCTATGGCTCCATCTATGCATCTATCTACGGGTTCATCTGTGGGTCCATCTCTGTATCTATGGCTCCATCTATGGGTCTGTCGGTCTGTATGGGTCCATCTATGGGTCCATCTCTGGGTGTATCTATGGGTCCATCTGTGTGTCCATCTATGGGTCCACCTGTGGGTCCATCTATGGGTCCATGTATGGCTCCATCTATGGGTCCATCTATGGGTCCATGTATGGCTCCATCTATGGGTCCATCTATGGGTCCATCTATGGGTCTATGGCTCCATCTATGGGTCCATCTGTGGGTCCATCTATGGGTCCCTCCATGGGTCCATCTGCGTGTCCATCTATGGGTCCATCTATGGGTCTATGGGTCCATCTATGGGTCCATCTATGGGTCTGTGGCTCCACCTATGGGTCCCTCTATGGCTCTATGGCTCCATCTATGGGTCCATCTATGGGTCTGTGGCTCCATCTATGGGTCCCTCTATGGGTCTATGGTTCCATCTATGGGTCCCTCTATGGGTCTATGGCTCCATCTATGGGTCTATGGCTCCATCTATGGCTCCATCTATGGGTCCCTCTATGGGTCTATGGCTCCATCTATGGGTCTATGGCTCCATCTATGGGTCCCTCTATGGGTCTACGCCTCCATCTCCATCTCCACTTGTGGGTCACGCCGTGACTCCCTCTCCCCACCCCCTCTTCCCCCCCCCCCCCTCCGCAGCCTCCCGGGCCCAGCCCCACATCCCCCCTCTCCTGCCCCACGGCGCAGGCGGGCGGTGGCCGCTATGGGGCAGGCTCAGCCGTGGGGCGGGCGCCTGCCCCCCGAGCTCCTGGCTCGCATCTTCCAGGCGGGGGTGGAGGCCGAAGGCGCCGTCCCCTTCCTCTGCAGGTGGGTCCCATAGGGAAAAGAGGGGGGTGTGGGGCTGCCCCATAAGTGTGGGGCGCGGTGACGTCATCACCCCCCCCACCAAACCACGCTATAGGGCAGCCCGCGTGTGCCGGGAGTGGAACCGCGTCGCTTCTGCCCCACAGCTCTGGAGGAAGGTGACGTTGGGGGTGGGGTGCTGTGGGGCAGCGCCCCATAAGCGCCTGCCCCACACGGCGCTGGGCATCGTGAGCTGGTTGGTGGAGAGCAGGTGGGTGATGAGCAACCCCCCCCACACTGTGATCCCTATGGGGGGGGGGGGGGGGGGTATCCCCTGCCCCACACTTATGGGGTGTGGGGGGGGCTCTGCCCCACACTTGTGGGGCTCTCGGCAGGTTCTCGCTGCTGCAGGAGTTTGTTCTGTGCGGTTGGAAGAGCCACGTGGGCTTCGTGCTGCAGGTGAGGGGGGGGCTGCCCCACACTTGGAGGGCTGCCCCATTGATGGGGTGGCTGTGGGGCTGCCCCATAGCCACGGCTCTGCCCCATAGATAGAGGATGTCTCATAGATGGGGGGGGCGTTGTAACCACCTGGGAGATGCCCCATAGCCAGGGGGCTGCCCCACACTTGGAGGGCTGCCCCATTGATGGGGTGGCTGTGGGGCTGCCCCATAGACAGAGGATGTCTCATAGATGGGGGGGGCGTTGTAACCACCTGGGAGATGCCCCATAGCCAGGGGGCTGCCCCACACTTGGAGGGCTGCCCCATTGATGGGGTGGCTGTGGGGCTGCCCCATAGCCACGGCTCTGCCCCATAGATAGAGGATGTCTCATAGATGGGGGGGGCGTTGTAACCACCTGGGAGATGCCCCATAGCCAGGGGGCTGCCCCACACTTGGGAGGCTGCCCCATACATGGGGTGGCTGTGGGGCTGCCCATA